GCAGTTTGAGGGCGCTGCAGCCTCCTGTTACCTGGCAGTGCATTAATATCCCCTTCAGTGGGCTTTCAGTCACCACTGGAAGGGGAAAAGTGCTCTGCACTTGGCAGGATCTAATTCCTAGGGACAAAAAGTGGCTTGGAAGTGAGGCAGCTCGTTCCAGAGCACAGAAAGGGGTGACCCAGAGCCATCCTGGGTGATTTGCTGCCTGGTTTCCTCTCCGAAGAGGAATTCCCTCTGCAACACAAGGTTTAAGCACGGTTTAAGGTCCCCTTGAGCTGAAGGGACACGAGGCTGGGGTTGTGTGTCCTGGCTGCCAGGCTCAGCTCTGCTGGGTGGGAAAAATCACACCCTGACCTTGCAGTAGTAGCTGATAATCAGCTGATAATATTGAATGGGCTCTGTCCCTCAGTGCTTCTCTAAGGGATTGAATTGAATGCTGATGGTCTTCACCTCTGAATTTACTTTCTCCTCTCTTGCAGGTTGTTTTGCCCCATCAGCCACTTCCTTCCTACTCCCCAATGGGTAATGTATCCCTGCCCCTCCAAGTGTTTGCTGCAGGGAAGGCTGTGCTGAGCTGGGTTTAATCTTTAATCCTCTCCTGTTTTCTCAGGCCAGCCCTGTATCGAGATGGACGTTGCTGCCCCTGCTCTGCCAGTCACAGATGAAGGAGCACTGGCTTCTGGCTGGATCCCCCAGCCCTCTCCCACGTCCCTGCAGCCCCTGGCCCAGTGGAGCACCTACCCTGACTATGTGCCCCACGAGGCAGCCAGCTGTCCCTACACAGCAGACATGTACGTGCAGCCCATGTGTCCCAGCTACACCCTGGTGGGACCTTCGCCTGTTCTGACTTACACTTCCCAGCCACTCATCACCAACTTTGCAGTAAGTCAAAAACACCAGTTCTGCAGTGAGCCAAAGGTTCCAAGTGAGGGCTAATTCCCTGATTCCCTCTAAGTCCCTCCTGGCAGGAGCCCTGGGTGCTGGCTGGTGTAGTTAGCCTGATTTATTTAACTGTATCATGTTGTGTGTGTTTGCATCCACGCCATGGAGCTGCTCTAGCCCTGGCTGGACATCAGTGGGGTTTGAACAGGGCAGAAAGCTGTGGCTGTAGTGGAATCAGGCAAAATTCACTGCCCTGTTCCACTCCTCCAGGCTGGGCAGAGGTTCTTCACTATTGATTTCCTAGCTTAAAAAAAAACATCACCAAAAAATGTAAATGGGATTCCAGGAAACACAACAGGTGAAGCAGGAAGAATGACTTGGCAATAAATTTCTCCAAAGTTGCTATTTACTGACGGAAGAGGAAGGTCAAAATGGCATGTAAAGATAGTAGAGACAGCAGAATATTTGGTTTCAGGACGATCCAAGAGAATTTGTTCCTCCTTGGAGGAGAAGGGCAGAGCCAGAACGAGCTGCCTTGTGGCACCAAAGTCAACTTGCAAGAGGCTGTCAAGCAGGCAGTTTCCAGCACAGGGTTGTAAGAGTCTCATGGGCTTACAGAGAGGGTGGGAATGGGAACAGAAAGCTCGAGGGAACCTGACCACGAGTGTGAGCTCGTGGCAAGCAGCACCTGGGACACCCCCAGCCAGCACTCCCATGGGGAAAGTGTCACACTCAGAGCACCCAGAGGGAGAGGAAAAGGGATGTTAGAGGTCAGACCCAGCACTCCTAGTCTGTGTTGTGTCCCCTACACCCCCTGCCCCACCTGGCCACCGGTTTGATTTCATTTTCTTCCTCTGCCAGCCCCGGAGCAGCACCCCGGCCGTGGTGCCGCCGCTGGAGGTGCCGGAGCAGCAGCCGCCCCTCACGTACTTCCCGTGGGCACAGCCCCTCTCTGCCCTGCCAGCCTCCACTCTGCAGTACCAGCCAGCCTCTTCCACGCTCCCAGGGCCTCAGTTTGTGCCCGTGCCCATCTCCATCCCCGAGCCAGCCCCCCAGGAGCTGGAGGATGCCCGGCGGGTCATCGGCGCGCTGCCCATCGAGAAGCTGCTGCTGGAAGACGAAGACAGCGATACGTATGTCCTAAACCATGCTCTGTCTGTCGAAGGGCTTTGAGCTGGGGCACACCTGGGGCCTGCCCCTCACCTACTCACTGCTCCACCTGGCAGCACGGAGAGTTTTGAGTACAGAGGAACAGCAGGCGGGGGGGGATAGGGTGGGTGGGGTGGGAATTTTAGCACACCACGACTTGGGCGCTGTGTGAAACTCGCTTCGTCCTGGGGCCCAGCACAGGATTTCTCTGCTGTTGCAGCTCCTGCTGCCTCTCCCAGGCAGGCTTTTGACACTGCAGACTTGTGCTCAGCGTCAGCACGAGGTGACTTTCACGCTCAGGCCCAGGGAAGGGGCTCAGATTGTCCTATTGTAGAGTGTCCTTGGCCAGCTGTGGCATTTGGGGAGGGCACACTTGCCAAGACCCACTTCAGCAGGACCGCTTTTGTGTAAATGCCTTGTGTGTGTGTGTGTGTGTCTTTGCCCTGTCCATGCAGGAACTTCTACCAGATCTAGGCCACTAGAAAACATTTTCGGGCTTAAATCATCATTTTTCTTTCCTAAATTGAGCTGCTCCTTTGGAACTTAGGAAGATAGAAAGTGTGGTTTTGCTCTGCTGGGGCAGTGATCTGAAAATAAAGCCGAGACAGCTGAACTAAATGCCAGTGCAGTCAGCCATCCCTATTTACAGGGCAGATGGAACATCTGAGTTCACTCAAAGGCGTGAATTGAAGGTCTGGCCTCGTCTGCCGTTGGAACTCAGCCCTGTAGGTGTAGTTGGACTCAGGGTTTTTGGGGTTCTGGACTCCCAAATACCCACCTGTGAGATGGGGGCTGGTTTAGTGGCTGGCTGGTAACTCTGCGTGTTCTGCCAGTGGGCAGATCGTGGTCCCACTGAAGCCTCCAGGAGTTTTGCCTGAGTTAGGATGGCAAGAATGGCCATGGTTATTATTTGGCAATGTTTTTCCTTGTTCTGTAGCATTTGGGGTGTGAAGCTGGTGATGATGTGCTGAGCCAGGTGACATCAGGGACCTCTCCTGCGCCATGGAAATTCCCCACATTTCCTTTCTGGCTTTCTGATTTCCTTTCCTGGAGAATGAGTGGCTTTACTTTTTCCTCTGTAAATATTGTGGTTGATGTTCAGGAGTGTCATGCCACAGGCAAATATATTTGCAGGAGATATATCCCCTTCTAGCTCTGCTTATTGTTCTCTTAATAAACAAGAGACTCTTGGCTGGTGAACAAAATTTCTCTGGGTTTTTCTGCTTTCCAAAGCCCAGCAGCCTTAGGTGATTTTATTGTTTGCGAGGCTAACTGCAAAATAATTTATTGAACTGCTTATTACCTGGAGTCCAGTTGCCACCCAGGCAATATTTCAAGTCACCTCACAGCTAATGCCTGAGTGAGGTTTACAAGCTCAGGCTGAAAGTCTTAAAGGCTTTCCAAGCATATTTTGGTTTTGAGTATTGACAAATCTGGGAGACACAAGCAATAGATCATGTGAGTGATCGTAAAGCTGTTGGGAAATAGCAGTAGTTCAGGTGTGCATTGAAATTAGTGGCTTATATTTGCAGAAAAACCCAGCAAAGAAATTCTTTGGAAGGGGCTTAGTTCACCACTGCTTACTCCAGTTTTACAGGTACAAACAAGGTGGGTAAAACTGGGATAATGCAGTTGTGAATCAAGCCCGTGGTTGCTCAGATTGCTTCTCAATTCCTTTCACTCCAGTGTGTGTAAATTCTGTGTGTGAATCTAAAACAATGATGAACTGTTTCCAAATTTCTTTCTGGGTTGTTCTGGTTAGAAAAAGACAAATTATATTTTTTTTTTCAATAAAGATCTACAGTAACTTTTCTATGCCTAGAGTGTTTTATTTCCTATCCAAAAGGGTGCCCTGGCATTGGTTTAGCAGTCAGTTAGTTCAGTATCATGTGTACAGGCAGGAACCACAGATTGGCTGTGAGATTTTGTGCTGATTTTGCACTTTCAAGCAGACTAAGGAGGAATTCCTTGATCCAGCTATGGCCTGGAGGCACTTCCCTCAAGCAGTCCTTACTCACAGCAGCAGCTCATGTGTTAGTTCAATCTCTGGTCTCCTCTCCTGGCACCCCTGGGGGTGTGTGGGTGTGCAGCCACAGCTAATGCTGAGCTTGACTGAAAATCAGATTAGCCAGAAAGCTGCATTTATGCTTCCTGAAATGGCAAGGGCTGGCTCTGGAGCACAGAATTACCCCTGCCCACCCCTGAAAAGCCTCCAGATGTTGCTGTCTGGAGCAAAAGGAAGCCAGGGGTTGGGCCAGCCATGTGTAGGATGCTCTCCTCCTGGGCAGAGGGGAATTCCAAAGCTACCTGGGCATTCCCAGGGCCCTGGCAAGTTGGGCTTGGGGGAATGGAAATGGCTCCAGCCAGGGCCAGGCAAACAGAGTGAAGCAGCCAAGTGTTTTCCCCATCACCGAGGGCCACGTCACCAGCAAACCCACAGCCCCTGTGGGCTGTGACAAATCTGTGTCTTGTGCAAAATACGGGGGCTTCGTCCCTCTGAGCAGGAGGTTTGGTAGAGAAGCAGAGTTTAACAGGTTGATTACAAATGTACCACTTAGCAGCTGGGTGTTACCCCCGATGGTGGGATTTCACCAACACGTACAGGGTGGTATCACCCCAAAAAGCGATATATCCATAACAATGTGGTACTCTGGGCCCCCCCACCGGGTGTTGTGGAGGACTCAGGTACCTCCCAGTGGCGAATCTCACCCGAAGGAAGGTGCTGAAGTGGGAAGGAGGCAGCATGAGGGCTCTTGGACACTGCAGTTGTTGGAGGTAGGAAGCCCTTTCCGTGGGAGTGGGAGCTTCACGGTCAAAGCCCTTCGAGGCTCCCGGCGTGGATTTGTGGAACAGGGGGCGTAAAAACCCCCAAAACGGCAGTGCTGCCCTGTAAAACCGTTCATGGCCAAGCAGTGACCGGTGTCTCTGTTTGCTGTCTTAGAATTCTACATATTTATGCAGCTAAAGGTATGAGGGTCCACACCCTGGCAGCCGCCGAGCGCCTGAAGCCGCTGAGGAGACTCGACGCCAGGGAGCACAGAGGAAAGGTAATGTGGGCCCCTTCCTCCTGAAAACAGCAGGGTTGGGGTGGGCAGGGGCTTTGCATGGCTGGGAACAAGTGGTAAACCCTGTTCTGTTGCTGAGAGGGAAGGCTTGGCACTGCTCAGCCTTGCGAAGGTGCCTCTGGCAGGAGATAAATTGGGTGGGGTGAGAACGAGCCTCTTCTTTCTCCAGCCAGTGGTTCATAGGGTGATCTAAGAAGGCTGGTCCAGCAAAATGTGTGTCTCCTGGCAGCAGTCTCTGAGGCTGGAGGTTTCATGAACAGCTGACTGGTGCCAGGGGGGCTGCACCTGATGGAACTGCTGTTCCAAAAACCCTGGGTTTGGGTTGTCAGCCAAGGCAGGGCCAGAGGACCCCAGAGGGAGTTCGGCAAGAGCTGGGCAGTGCCCCCATCCCACCACGCCATGGGTCCCACGTGGGGTTCAAAATCCCCCTGAGAGCTGCCTTCATTCTGGGCGCCACGACCCTCGGCATTCCAGCCACCGTTCATCTTCCCCCATCCCTGGTTTTGTGACAGCGCCTGCTGCCAGACCCTCACGTCCCTCTGCCGTTTCAGACGCCTCTGCTGGTGGCTGTCACTGCCAGGCAGCCAGCCATCGTCCACGACCTGATCCAGGCAGGAGCAGACGTCAATGCCGTGGACAACAAGGGGCAGTCAGCCCTGCACCTCGCTGCCACGTACGGCTACGCCCCAGTGCTGCAGGTGGGGAAAGCTTCGTGACTTTGGCACCCTCCATAAAATATCGGTGCTGGTGTCTGGGAACAGCTGCCTTAGAGGGCAAGGTGTCAGTGAGCAGGGGAGGCTGACTCGAAGCAGCTGATGGGACCCTGCAGACAGGGGACAGCACAGGCACAGCCTTCAAAGCGAGGTGTTTTTCAGGTTTCACTCAAAGCATGACTTACATGAGCAGAATCTTTGCTCCCCTGCTGCTCCACACGTCTCTCTGCACACAGGGGCTGCACCCCGAGTCGTGTGCCAGCCCCCCAGGAGCAAATCAGCACATTCCAAAAGGCGCTGTGGGAATTTTGGGAAGGGATTACGCAGCAGGGATTAGCAGACGTGTGTCTTAAATGCTTAACTATCGGCCATAAAATGGAGTTCTTAGAACATCCCCGCCCTGATGATGCCAGGACTGAGCACGGGCATTTTTGTGGCTGCTGCTGGGGTTACCTGAGGGCAGGGCTCAGGGATGGGGTGCCAGGGGCTGCCTGGCATGTTGGCACTCCATCCCCAGCATTCGTTAGCCCTGCCTGGCACGTGCCCTGGGCTAAGCCCTGAGCGGGCAGTTAATGTGTAACACGGAGGGTTCTTTGGAAAACAGGTGTTTCCTTCAGAGGGAAGAATGTTTTAATGCAGATGATTCCAACAAAGCCTCCCAGAGTGCCTTGGGGTGGTTTGTATTTCAGGGTTTCTTTGTCTGCTTTTTTCTTTCATGTTTTGTTTTGTTTTGTTTTTTTCTCCCCTTGCCATTAAAAGGGAAAACTCACACAAATTCAGTGTGGTCAAAGCCATGAAAGCCTTTATGGTTTGCTTGTTTATTTTATTGTGTTTTTTTTCCCTAATGGATTAACTATCTAATCTCTAATAATCAAGCACATTGCCAATATTTGATCTGCATATATTTTATTGTTGTTATGAGAAGATAAGTCAGGCCCCAACTATTCTGGGTCATCTTTCAGCAGCAGGATTCCTTCTCTGCTTTGACACAGTTCTGGATGAGTCACTGCACTGCAAAAATTCTTAGTCTTGTAACGTGAACAATTTATTTCATTCAATCAAGAGGAAGAAATGAATTATCTATAGTAATATAGAAAACAATATATATAATATATATGTTTAGCTTCATCACATTGAATCTATCACTTTCTTACATTAAAAAGTCTAAAATTCTTTTCTCTTTCTTTTAAAATTTATAATCCAAGCAATGCTCATCTCCAGGTCCCCATGCAGGCCATTTCTAGTCTCTGCATCCTCATTGCTTCCACAAACTGTGAGTTTAACTTCTCACACTCTAAAAACAAAAAGCAAGTAAATCCACCTGAGAGCAGCCAGTGTTGGTGAACTTTCAGGGGATAAAGTTTGGCTGCACCTGCCAAGGAGAAATTGTTATTTTTATATCTATTGTTATTTTTATATCTATTTAAAAAATTGTTATTTTTATATCTATTTTAAATTTTGTTGGTTTTGACAGATTTTGGCTTGGACACTGTTCTGCTGACCTAAAATTTTCGATTTCTCTGTTGCTTCCAGGTTATACTGTCACTGGGTTTCCCTCTTGACTTAGAAACGAAGGATTTTGAAGGTAAAAACCTTTGCACAAATATTTTTACAGTGGCCTGGAAACCTGTATTGGCTATTTCACTGTCTGCTGCTCGTTGAGTTTTGGGGCTGGGAGGGCTCAGAAACTGCCTGGGGGGGAGCCAGTTGTGTCTGAGCACTCCAATGCCACAGGATGGAGTGGTTCAGGGGGGATTCAATGCACAGCTGGAAATGAGCAGATGCTGCAGAGCCCCAAAAAGTGTCCACACACTCAGTGTGGTACCCTGGAAAGCAGAGAAGGGCTTGTGTCTTAACAACACGTGCAGAGAGAGGCAGGTGCTCTCCAGGCCAGCTCTGCCTGCTCTCTGTTCATCAGTATTTCTGGTTGGGCTGTCGTTCTCTCCCTCCCATCCTTGTTTTTGCAGGCCATACCCCCCTGCACTGTGCTGTGCTGGCCCACAACGCCCTGCTCCGGGAGCAGAGCTGCCAGACCCTCACCCAGGAGCAGCACAAAGACCTCCAGCAGCAGAGAGAGGAGCTGGAGTCCTGCATCCACCTCCTGGTGCACACCGGGGCCTCCATCTACAGCAGGGTGAGGGCTCGGCTCAGTCATCCCTGACTTCTCCCTGGGGAAGAATTTGCTGTTCTCAAAACGTGGGAATGGAGAGGGAGCTTTCCAAGTGACTGGTTGCAGAGTTGGGTGCTGCTTTTTGGGGTTCCTGTCCTGCAGCCTGAAGCAAACACTGGACAGTCAGAGGGGTCGCTGAAGGGAAGGGGATGCTCCACACTGGCTGCAGAGCTGGCCTGAAAGAAAAAAAAAAAAAAACAAATAAAATGAGAAATGTTCTGCAGAACATTTCTCATTTTATTTGTTTTTGTTTTTTTCTTTTTTTTCTTTTTTCCTCCTGTTTTTAAATAGGATGTGAAAAGCAACAAGACAGTTCTTCATTACACAGTCCAGGATGGGAACCTCTCCCTGCTCAGATACTTCTTGGAGCTGAACGCTTTCAAGTCCAAGGATTTTGTCAACAGCAAGGTGAGTCAGGGTGAGCCTGGGGGGGGATTTGTGTGCACATCTCCAGGCAGGGGAGATGCTGGCAGCAGTGTGGCAGCTGTGCTGCAGTGGGAGGCTGCATTAGAACATCTGTGGGGTCCTCCAGATTCCCGTTATTCTCTTCCCACACACACACGTTTCTGTCTAGCAAGAAGGAATTGGATGTTTTCCATCACCTCACTTAGCAGGCAGATTCTGGACAGCTTCAGTGCTTTTTTTTTCCCCCTACAGATTTCTGTAGGAAACATGTTTGGCTTTGTGCATGTGGGTAAAGGCGCTGAGTTTGTGTCTCTGTCCAGTGAAGGGCCTTATGCCTTTCCACTGCATTCCTTCTTATCTCTGGAGACACAGCAGACAGGTGCTGGCTTGTCCGTGGCAATCTGCCCTTGTCTCTTGATCACAACCCTCTGAGAGCTCCCTGCTGTGATAGCATCACCTGGAGTCTTCAGTCTTGCTGCTGAGCTGTCTGGGACAGTGAGAAATGGTTGTCTGATAACCCAGCCTGGATTTTTTAGCTCTTCCAAGTATGAAGAAGACAAGGAAACAGAGGCACCCTGGAGTCCGTATTTTTGGCTTCCCTGCCTCACCCACTGCTTGTTGTGGTTGTCTCATTCCAAATCTGCTTCCTTGGGGATTTCACAATGAGAAAACAAACAAAACATGGAGATCTTAAAGGTCTTTTTCACCTGAAGGATTCCCAGAGCCCACACGTTGGTCCTCTGGACATGGTCTCACATCAGCCCTGTTAAAGTCAACGTGAGGCTTCAAGGTCAGGCATTGTCAGATCCCTGTTTTGTGAGCCAGTGCCTGGATTGGGAAGCTGTCAAGTGCTCCTGCCACAAAGGTGCAGCAAACAAATGCAGATGTTTCCATTTTAACGAGAAATCCTGTAAAGAGCTCGTAACCACCCCTTGGCTCTCTGGGATAATAAAATCGACAAGGATCTGCCTGTTCAGGGCTCGTAAAATGTGCCTTGTTTGAGAAGGGCTGTTAGGATTTTGCTGTTTTATTTTCTGCCTCAGTATCCCTTATAAATAGGCCCTGAAAAATCATGTGTATTCATTTTAACAGCTGGAATAGCAACACACACTGCAACTTCTGCCCAGCCATTCCAAGTTCACGACAAAATGTGTGGTCCTTTCTGAGAGAAAAACAAGCAGCTGCCCAAATGAGACTCTTGCAGACTAAAAATACCTCCCCTTATGCATTTGTTTATTAGGTTTTTCTCATTTTAAACCGTTACCAGTCATAGCTGGCTAGACAGGGCCCAGATTTCTACACGGTCTGGTGACAGCAGAGCTTTCCTGCACCAAATTGCAGCACTTTCCACCCATCCTGGCCCCCTGCCTGGCTTCACAGCCAGCTCTGTCCTTCCCATGCAAACCCTCTTACTGGGAAAGCTGGACTCGATCCATGCTCAAGGATGTGCTTGACCTCAGGATTCTGCAACTTTCTGGCCCTTGCAAGTGCTGGGAGGAGGGAGCAGTGGGGATGTGTCGAGCACAGCTGGCTCTGCTGTTGTCAAGCCCATGTGTGGTGTGTAGCAGCCCCCAAATCCAACTTAGTGCTTCCCAGGGAAATATTTCCATGGCTAAACATGCATGTTGCATCCTTCTCTTCCTCAAATAGCTCCTCAGGGCTCTGTTCACACGGAGGTGTGATTTAGCAGGGGGTTGCAGGGCGATCAGGAGTGTTGCTGAGGCAGGGTTATTTATTTAGTTATACTCCAAGCATTAAAAACCCTACAGTCTGTAGTGCTCTAGAAGAGAGGAAAATCTAAATCCCCAAATCTCCTGCATGGGAGAAACAGAGCAGAGATCTTCCTTCACCTGCTGGTAACTAATCCAGCTCCCCTTTCACAAATCTCCAAGGACAACCCCGAGGGAGGTGGCCCAGCTCAGCAGGAGGTTTCTCCAGGCTTTTTAACCTCTTTTCCTTTCCCATCCCCAACCCATCAGGCCCATGGCAACACAGCCCTGCACATGGCAGCTGCACTGCCCAGGGACAAGAACCAGAAGGAGATCATCCAGCTGCTCCTGGCCCACGGGGCAGACCCCAGCATCCGAAACCTGGACAACGACCAGCCCATCCACATGGCTCCCCCTGGGAGAGCTGGGGACCAGGTATGTGATTGCTGGTCACCTGCACCCTCAAGGTTGGAGGGCTGGGTTTTGTGCCTGCAGGTCTGAAAAGGTTCCTGGAGCTCCCTGTGGCTCCTGGGTGTGTTTAGATGCGTGTTTAGTTGCACATGCCCGTGTATATAAGAGTGTGAGATGGTACTTCATGAGCTTCTCCGTGTTTTGGCAGGTCAGGCATTTGCTGAAGAAAGGGAAAGTTGCGTCTGCCTTCCTTCCCTGCCACCGAAATGCCAGATCCTAGGCTGCCCGAAATTTGTGGAACGGCTTCACCTCCAGCCTGCTGATGATTCACCAACAGGTCCCTGCTCCTGCAGGCTTAAAACAGGGTGGGAAGAGAGCGTTTCTCTCCCATTCTCAGCTGAGGGGGAGTTTCCATAGGTTCTTCTTAGTGTTTCTGTGAAATGATTCGTGGATTGCCGTGCAATCACCGGCAGAAGTGGCTCTGCTGGGCTCACAGACTGGGGGCAGGTGCCTGAAGGGAGGCCAAGCCGTGCTTTGGCACCCCTTTGGCAGAGGATGTCTCGTCCCCAGTGCTCCCCCTGAACCCTAGTTTGCTGATTTCTCAACGTTGCCCAAGTTGTTTCCTCTGTCAGGGCAGGAGAGTGAAGTGAAGGGCAGATCCCTTCAATCACTGCAGCACTTCCTTGATCCCCCCCTGCCTGACTCAGCAGCGTGGGAGTTTCTGCAGCACTTGTCAGTCCCCCGGGCCTGGAGTGTTTGAACAACTCTTTAGCAGACTCGAACAAAAGCTCTTAAGAAATGCAGAGATCTGGATTTTCCAGCCCTCCTCTCTGCTGTTTTGCTATTGCTTCCCACTACATCACATCTCCAAACCTGCCAACATCCCCTGACACACACACACACACACACACAAAAAATCCAGCCATGTATTTGCATGTGTTTGCATAAATTTGCATATACCTGGGCATAGGCCAGCAAAAGCATGTGCTTTCTTACTTTGAAGGATGTTATAACAAGCCCTGGATTGAGGGATAACTGTATCAGTGAGTTAGTACCGTGTGTCAAGACAAAATGATCAATAAAATACCCATTTCTTGACTTGCCAGCGACAAAGCTGCCAGACCACGAGCAGCACGTGGCATGTGATGCACCAGGGAACATGGAAAAAGCTTTTTGCCATCTAGAAGCGTCTGTGGGATGGCTGAAGTCCTGTGTGATTGTTGTTACTGCTTGTAACTGCAGTGGGGTTGTCTGGAATCATCACCACCTCCAGAAGGTCAGGGATAGTGTCCTCCTGGGGAGGGATGTGGCTTCATTCAGAGCATCCCCCTGGTGTTGCTCAGAGCTGACAGGTGAGGTTTGCAGGGGGGAGAGCCCGTGACAGGCACAGGAGGGATTCCTTCTCTCTCCAGGCACATCTGTGCCTGAATTCCCAAAGCTCAGACATCACAGGGCTGCTCTGAAGCCACAACCAACAGGTTATCCATGTTGGCTTTGAACTGGAGCCACCAGACACTTGGAGGCTGCTGCAGGTAGAACACCTTTCCCTTTCCAACCAGTCTGTGTAATAAGAAAATCCCTTTTAACCCTCCAAGGTGTCTTCTGCACTCAGGGTGAGTTCCACTGATTTAAACAGTTCACATTTAACCCCTCAATTTTTTATGGCTGTTTCAGGGGGGAATGTAACTTCTACAACTTGGCAGTGTGTGATTTCCCTTTCTTTGCACAGTTTATCTCTTCCTACCTGTGGCTTTGGAGAAGTTGCTAACAACAAAGGCTTGTTATCTCCCAACAAATTATCTGGAGTGGCACCACAGAAAAGCTGTCAGTCGGCTGGCAAGCCAAACTTTTAGATCAAATACTTTGTGCAACTGGTAAAGAACCCGAAAATAAGAACCTTTTCTTTCCTCTGTAACTGCAGGTTACTTGTGGAGTTATTCATGGCCTTTGTAAGCATGAGATGATCCTCATTTTTGTGTGAACACCTGTTTGTAAAGGCTGGCAGGGCTTCACCTGGCAGGGACTGATGACACACCAGAGTTTCAATAGGGCTGTGCCAGCTCTCAAAGTTACTTTCCTTTGACTCCTTTTTTTTTTATTATTATTTTTGAGGGGGAAGATAAAGGAGGGAAAGAATATGTTCCTCATAGCCAGAAAAGGCACAATCAACCTCTGAATGGTGCCTCTGTCGTGTTTTTTTCCTTCCTTGTGTCAATAAGATGTTGTGTCAACAGCCAGCAAGCTTTTACTTGCACTGCACGTGTGGCCTGGAGCTGTTGACAGGGAGTTGGGGAACAGCATCTCAGACATGATTCCAGGCTGGGAGGTTGCAAAACAACTGGAGAAGGAGCAGCAGAGCAATAGGAAGAGGCTGCAGGGGATGGAGGGCAGTGATAATTAATTAGTGGAAGCTGTTGGAGCCTGGAGACCTTGGTGCACAGAAACATTTTGCTGAAAATATCCCTATCCCAGTGGAGTGGTTGATAATTTCAGAGCTGAGGCTACTAGATGTGGAGGTGAAAGATATCTTGCTGGCCTCTAACAGCTGATTTCCTTGCTGGAGCTGTTGTGTAGAGTTAGGATACTACTATCCTTGCTGTGAGATGTCTTAACATGAGCCCTCCTTGAGTGCTTATTTACCATTTCACAGGCCCTTTGCTCTTGAGAGCATCCCCTTGGCTCTGCCAGGTTCAGGCCTTGAACTGCTGCAAAGATACAGCTGTTTGTGAGTGTTTTCTGGGACCTGATGAATTTATCACTTTGGCAAGCTCTGAGGTTAATCAGGTAATGGTAGGGGAGAAGGGGAGATGTTATTTGAAGTGGTCAAAACATTTTAAAGCAAGTTTTGGAGAAAAAAACCTGTTACCTTGCATAAGGTAAAGGGGCTGGAAAGCTTTTCAGTTCAGTGCAGAATTGTCTAGAGGAGGTAAATTATGGCTTTGTCTTCACAGATGTGATTGGTTGGTGGGTTTTTTTTTGGTTTTTGTTGGATTTAATATGGAAAGATGCTTCTTTCTTTCCAGTCTGGGTGCTCAGCTGAGAAACTGGTGCCTTGGTAATCTGCCTCACCCTGTGCTATTAAAAGGAGGCGAGAGGGGAGTCTTAGAAAGGTCTGGGTTTATGCAAGAAACAGGAAGCACTCAGGTGTAACTTTCCCATTATCTACTTTTAAAAATCATTTAGCTCCTATTCAGTTGATTATGCTGAAAGGTGAGGAAAAAAATCTGTTATCAACAGCCCCAGCTCCACAAGGGGCTGCCAAACTGCATCAGCCTCCTGCTTCTCACGGGCAAGCAGCGGCCAAAAATGTTTGGCACCGGATTCCACCTCTTTGCAGCTCTGAGGGGCCCTGGGCTTGGGTGGAAAGCAGCAATTTTCTGCCAGAGCCACCAGGGAAGTGTCACGGGGACATCCTGAGCAGAAAGCAGCAGGTGAGGAGATGCAGATCCACCTCCCAGCTTTCCCTGGGCTCTGGATCACACACGGACCTTTCACCTGCTGGAAAAGGTTAAGGTGAGCCCTTTCACGTCACTGAGTTATTGTGCAGCTCCTCAGCCTTGGTGAGAGCACAGGGGCAGCACCCTGGACCATCAGCACGAGGGGACAGCACTGACATGCAGCGTGTGAGGAACGAGCAGGCTTCAGCATGTGCACAAAATGATTTATTTGTATCAAAAAGAGCTGGTGTAACCGTGTGCTGGGTAAGGCAGCTTCGGATCTCTTTATAAAAAAAAAAAAAACACAGCAACAACAACAACATCATCAACGAAAACAGACAGGAAAAAAAGGAAAACAACACCACCAGATTACCACAAGGGCAACAAAAGTGACCCTACAGGACAGGAGGGTTAATGTAGTGACAGCATCGTGTACAAAAACGTGTGAGTAGTGAAGAACAACCTGGGCTGTGTTAGGCAGCACGACTTTGCATAGTTCACGGGCAATTAATCTGATTTGGGTAGAGTGGAGGTGTAAAACCACAGCCCCCCCCCTCCATTAGCTGTAGCAGATGTCACAGCTCCTGTCCCTCCTGAAGAAGTCCTCGGCCAGGCCCAGGGGGGGCAGGTGGTCCAGGCAGTCCGTGCTGGGGCAGGGGAAGCACTGGGGCACCCTGCTGTCCCAGGGCTGGGAGCCACAGGCTGTGCAGCAGCAGGCAGGGCTGGGGTAGGGGCAGGGGGCATGGCAGCCCCACTCCTCCACGGGGCAGCTGAAGGGCCGGGGCTCCAGAGCAGGGGGAGGGCTGGGGGTCAGCGGGGTGAGAGGAGACAGCTGGGCAGGGCAGCAGCTGGAGTTCAGCGAGCTGGACAGGTCAGCTGAGCTGGGAGGGCTGGCAGCCTGGAGTGGGAGAGAGAGAGAGAGAGAAAAAAAAAAAACAGAAGAAAGAAATAAAGGACATTTCAGGGTGTCGTTGGGGGATGTTTGGGAAATTTGGAGAGCAAGGCAGAACTTTCATGCTATTGCCTTTGTCGGGGGGGTCTGGCTACTCAGGGCAATGGTTAGCATGGGTTAGGTCCTGTGAGTTAGACAGGAACTAGGCTATCCTTTGCAGAAAAACTAAGGGACCTGTAGAGGGAACATCCCTTGTCCTGGCTTGTCTGGGTCTCCCTGTCCTCTGGGAAACCCTTCAGAGCCCACACAAGCAGCCTGGGTCACTGTATCCCCTAAAAGCAGCCAGATTCCCAAATCAGTTGGCTGCTGCTCTGCCCCAGGACGTGACTCCCTTCCCCACCTCCCCCTGTGGCTGCTCCCCTGGGACACAAAGCTTACCAGGCCCTGGTTAAAGCAGAGAGGCACTGGCTGGAAGGTGTCTGGGGTGTAGTGTGATGGCTGGAAAGCACTGCAGGCTGGCTCCGAGGGCACATCCGACTGCAGACAGGAATCTATCAGCTGCTCCAAGTAGCTGGGGCTTTCCTCACAGGAGAGGCAGTTGGAAAACTGCCAGGATGGACAGCAGTTGGGAACAGAAGAGATGGGCTCTGCATCAAAAGGGGCTGGGAGAGAAGGGAGAGCAGACAGGAGCAGGTTACTCGGTGTCACAGAGGGCAGGTTTTGCCCCAGGCCAGGTTTCAGAGCTCTCATCTGAGAGGCAGCCACATCTGCAGAAAGAAGGGGATCACAGGAGGATAATTTGCTCTCTTTATCCTCCAAACAGCCAGACAGAGGATGAAGTTCTGAGCAGACCAAATGCAGCAGGCCAGGGATAACGTGGGCACTGCTTCCACACAGTGTTACTGGCCGAGGTGTGAGTTCCTGGAAAGCTCACGGCAGGTCTGGCTTTTC